ATATATGCATAAATATGTATATGTTACATTATAAGGACTTCTCAACTGCAAGAATCCTTTTACCACCTCCAAGTCTTGAAACTTCAGCCCATTAAATTTCACACCAAGACAATGAGAACTCCAATATTTTCCAGACTGAATTATTATTTCTATTTTAGCAAATTAACCAAGCAGGGTTGGCTGAAAGAACAGGAGCTTTAATTTCAGTAACACCAGTTCTGCCACCTCAGGCAGATGGCAGAAATTTCCATCACCAGATTATTTGCCCCTTCTCACCCCTGCAGTTCGGTATCATGGGCATTTCTATGAGTTCTCAGACCATCACCAGAGTCATACTAACTGATCTGTATCAATTTATTCAGGTGCCAGAGAAAAAGCTGCAATTTATGAAATAATTTCAAACAGTCAGTACCGTTCTGACAAGAACTTAGAAGCACTGGTTGGAGTAATTTTGGTTTTAATCATGTAATGATTCTGCCTTTTCATCCCCAGCAAGCCCGCTTCTACTCATAGTGGCTGTCATCATATATACAACCTAAGAGCTGGACAGTGTGGGATACCATATTATTCGTTGTAATCCTAAAACTCAGAGCTTATAAAGGTCTGCTGCACAAATTTCACATATAAATCTGAAAAAAGTCTCATTTAAACCACTTTGAGCAGGAGGTTTCATTTGTTACTTTTTAAAAAAGAAATAGAGGCAACAAAACAAGAAAAGCAAGAATCAATGTAACAAGCACTTCAGAGCAAAGTAAATGCAAAACCCTTTTGGATATTTAGGTGAGGGGGAGCTACTCATCTCCCTTGCCTTTAGCCTATCTAGAATTGAGAAATCTAGCCCAGACTGATAATTTGTGCTTCCTCTAGTCTTGAGGAGACAAAAGCTTCCTTGTGGAGGCTGTCACATCCTCAAATAGGGCACATGAGTCTCTCCAGGGATGCCAGACCCTCTGTAACCCCAGGGAGAGTTTAAGCAACTAGCTGATTACCTGCCACTTACACAGGTGAGACAAGTTTCTCACTCTTCACATAAGCCACTAATATAAATCCTGAAGGCTTTGCTTGGTTCCTGCATGTACAAACTCAAAAACATCAACAGGGCAAGGGTTTACTTTAATGTTTGTAGGATGCAGAGGGGAAGGTTCACCAGCGGTCCAATCCCACACCAACATTGCTCTGACCACTTGTAATAGCTGCTTAGCCATGACGGTTTATGGCCACTTCGCTCACATACAACAATCTGTTGGTTACACAGCATCATGCAACAAGGGCAAAGAGTGCAACGTGATTTCCTAACACCCAGAGATGCATCACAGTCTACACCTTCCTCAAGGGGGACAGTGGAGAAAGGGCTGCTGATCTCCTCTCTGTGGTGACTAGTGATAGGACATGAAGAAATGGAATGAAGCTGTGTCAGGGCAAGTTCAGATTAGACATTAGGAAAAAGTTCCTCATGGGGAGGGTGGTTGGTCACTGGAACAGGCTCCCCAGGGAAGTGGTCATGTCACCAAGTTATGAGAGTTCAAGGAGCATTTGGATGACTCTCAGTCATATGGTTTAAAACTTTAGAAAGTCCTGCAAGGTGCAGGGAGCTGGGCTCAATGATCCTTATGGGTGCCTTCCAACTCGAGATACAGTCTATGACTCTAAGTTGAAGTAACTCGACATTCTCCTAGACACTAAGCTAGCTGTCCTGCATCTTCATGGGCCTGTATGTTACTAAGCACAACCCTCCAAATTTCTGCTGGTTCAACAAGGACTAGAACTACTCTGTCAGGTAAGCACAGGCTTTACACACACTTTAACATTATACAGCTTTACAAACAGGCTACCAGGGATAAAACCATAGAGCCCACCTAATAGGACAATATATATAATCTATGTGATTGTTTACTCTGGCATACCTTCTTACAGCATGGAAAGGAGAACAAGATATACTGTCAAATCCACCCTCATATAAGTACAAAATTATTTTATTTTTAAAAAATCTAAACATAATAAGGCCCTAACAGAGAGTTATTTTTGTTGAAAATTAATCAAGCAAGGCTACTGAAACACTATTGAGGAGTTCTGCATGTAATTCCTTAGGGGCAAGTTTTGGTTTTTAAATAATCAAGAACAAGTTATATTTAAAAAAAAAAAAAAGAAAAAAAAAAGAAAAAAAAAGAAAAAAAAAAGAAAAAAAAAGAAAAAAAAAAAAAAAAAAAAAAAAAAAAAAAAAGAAAAAAAAAGAAAAAAAAAAGAAAAAAAAAGAAAAAAAAAAGAAAAAAAAAAGAAAAAAAGAAAAAAGAGGCAAACAGTTCTCAGTTCCTAACTCTGGGAGCAAAGCTACCTCTATCCTTTCTTCATACTGCTGTGTTTCATTGTTGCTGTGTACCCTGAATTACAGGGTTATCACATGTTAGTGGAGCACAGGCTACACTCCTGGCAGCTCCAAGGTCTTTTTTAAACCCTTCTCATCAGGTCAAATTCACTTCTCTGAGTTGCATGCCAACAACAGCTATGCCACATATTGGGCTAGTATTCAAAAACAGGATGAAAAAGCACAGCTAATGTACATCTTCTAAAGTGCCTTCCACAAAATAAGTCAGACCACTCCTGATACACAGGACATGTTGGTCCCACCTGCTCACAAACACAACTGGGATTTATTCCTTGGTTTGGAAGAAAGCTGTAACTCTGTGGCCACAACCTGGATGCCTCAGTGCCCAGGGCCTCTCCAGATGCACCACTCCACGTGCACACAGCAGTGCAGAGCAGGCTGCAGAACCAAGGAGGTGACAGAGACACCAAGGCAGGGTCAAGCTTGGCATGGCCTGACCTTCTTCTCAAAAAGGTGGCATTCCCCATCCTCCGCAAAGACACTTCTTTCCCCAAAGCTCATCCTGGCCTCTCTGTCTGATCTCCCCTCTGTGTCAGGAGACCACATACAACCTCCTTACCTACACAGCCTGGTCCTTAACCAAGAAGCCTCAAGTTCCTTCACTTCAGAGGAGGAATCACTGTGTCCCAAAGACTGGGCATCCTTTTTGGAGAAACACAACAATTCATGGAGCATCCAGGACAGCCAGTTGAGCAAGATCGTGCCTAAGTAGGCAATGTTACTCAATAAGCTGAGTTGGCTGAAGGTTTTCCCATTGTAACACGATTTTTCTATTCTAGTATTATTTTTGGTGTAAAAAAAAATCAGTGGGGATGGGTGGGGTCTTTTGCGCAAAACTTGATGCTTTTAATGAAAAAAAGGTTGCTCTTCTTAATATTTTGCTGTTTATTTCTGTTGGGAAAACTACTTGAAATACAACAGTTTTGTCAGAAAAATATCAGTCTATGTCCGTCCGAATTCCTCCAGTGTCAGCTGGGAGCTGTAATTCACAGGCTGCATGTCCCCCTCTTTCCCAGAAGGCTGGGCTCCTGGGCATCCCTCCAGCCTTCGTGACGCATTCCCCTTTGACTAACCCACAGTAAGAGCATCATGGGATCTGTAATCCAGCCAAAGAGCTGGGCCCCAAGGGAGACATGGCGCACAAGGCACTTGAAGGGTAATTTCTGAGGTCTGCAACAGTAGCTCAAACTGATGCTGCTCTAAGGGCCAAATGGATTTAATTAAATGTTTCCATTTCAAAAGGCTAGAACATTTTATTCAGCATTTTCCATATGACAATTTCTCATTTTTTGAAAAATTTCCATTCCAGGAAATTTTTTGGTATTTCAGCTTTCCATCTCAATTCAGGATGAAATTAAATGTTCAAGTATCAGAATTTGATGCTATATGGACCTTCAGTTTGGGAAACAGCCTTATTAATTAGCTGCTGACAGTGAAAAGACTCCATCTGTGAAGAGTGTGATCCAGTATGCCTTTGACATCAGTGGAAGCCACTTTTTCAGCTTAGTGGAGTCTGGATGGCATCCCAAAAGACCCAGGGAGGGTGGAGTTGACCATAGTTGCAGATATTTGAAACAGGAGTCAAAAGTGAAACAGCAAGAATATAAGGAGCAGCAACTAAGATGATCCGTTACCTGGACTCAATCAACACCCAGTTTTACTTACTTCAGTGAGTAACAGGAAGAAAAATCATTAAAATCATAACCTAATTCCCAGTTAGAGTAAAGATAGCAGTTAATCAACACTTTGCAGAGTAGAATAAATTCACAGTACAAATTTATCATGAGCTCTGTAACTTTCAATGTTCAAAACACTTCCCTCAGAAAACCTTCATATACTCCACTTAAGACTACTCTAAAGCTGAAGATACGATATGGTACTGAACTGCTTGCCTCGGGTTGTCTGTCCTCCCTCGAACCCTGCAAAACTGTTCTGTTGGATTGCTCTTACAGAAGCTCTGTCAGGACGGACTTAGGTCTCTGGACTTTGAGCACATCTACAGGTAGAAAGCAGCTAAGTGCGGGCTCCCAGGGCTGACACTCTGGGTGAGGACAGGGCATCAAATCCATCCTCTTCAGTGCCCAGTCTGTTTCTAGATTTAGCCCTGAGCCTTCCACCTCAAGGAGTAAAACAGCAGCTCCAAGGAGCCTATGTTCATCAGCAAAAGGGTGTGTGTGGAAAGAGAGCACTCAGAACAGTAAATAAATCAATTCACCCAACCATGAGGGGTCTAGAAAATTGGGTTTTGTTTATCTTTCATTTCCCTTTACTACAAGGCAGATGTTTCTAAGTAATAAGCAGAAACCTCGACAATTTTTAAGACTGAAGAGGAAGGGAGGGAGGAAGAAACATGTACAAGCTTTGAGGATGTTCTCAGCCCCAGCTTCAAAAAAAAAAAAAAAAAAAAAAAACCACCAACAAAAAAAAAACAACAACCAAAACCACACACCACCGCAAATGTGTATCTGTAAAAGCAAGTTTTTCCTTTAGCTGATTGGTAATTCTTAGTTCATAGGAGCATTTTATCCAGAAGGTTCTTCATGTTTCCAGTCTAGGTTGTAGCAATCTCAGTGAGGCACTAAACTTTAGGCTGTTAAAGTCTTTCTGTGCAGCACGGTCATTTTAAAATGATGTGGTAGCCATCATTGCTTTCAGCTGTAACAAAGAAACGCAAAGCATTTTTTCATTGCTTTTAGAAAACAGCACAGATACAGAACTCCAGATTTTCTTCTTAGGTAGTTTGCAATAGTTTGTACTCTTGTTCCCCAACCCATTCATCAAAATCAATGTTGAACCTCTAGGTCAAAGCATTTTCATAAAAAAATACAACATACTAATGGTCATCATTTTACTAGAATGTTTTCTGCTTATTTATATCAGTGGTATCAATGGATTTATTAAAGTTTTGTAACACTGTAACTGAGAGGAAAACATTGATCAATCAGTCTATCACAGCGTAAGTTGATGCAAGACCTTGACTTACACTAAATTAGACTATTTCTCTTTTCAGGGTAACAGCACTGAGTTTCTGATAACGTTTAGTGCAATTTAAAGGAGAAAGTATCTTTAGAACTACATGTAGTATCAGCAGCAGTACATACCTTTTAATGTGCTGATAACAAAACAAGATTCATCTTGGAAGTTTTGCACCATCTGAAGGGCAGAAGGAAAAAATCCAACACAATTTTTTTTTAGTAATTTAATTCAAGTTTCTTTCAGTGCCAGTACAGAACTTAGAGGAGAGTTATCAAACAACATTTGGTGTCTAGTCCTACACAGTCCTGAGTAACTCTGCCCATAAGGTTTTTAAAGTACATGACTGATTAACTAAAGTCCTTACTGCTGTAAATGTGCTTTAGAGAAGCTTATACTAAAGTGCTTGCCTGGAACTGTCTGGCTTGTTCAGCATTTTACCATCCCCTTTGCAGCTCTTGATCCTGCAAGTTCTTATATCACTCCAGTTAGTCTATTAAAGACCATGCTCTTAATTGCCTTCAATGAAGCTATACTATTTTAGACTGGATGAAGACAGCCCCTCTCCTAAAATCTAGCAATGGTAATACGTTCACAAATTCAGCTGAACCATGAAGCTTTGTTGAACTTACACGAGCTTCTGGGATAACGCCTAGAAGTGGTCAGTGCTGAGAAATTAACTACTTGCTGAATAAAGGAATACTGTTACTATAATGCCATCTCAGCAACGTCCACTTGGGTATATTAACCAGACATTACTATAGATGCTGTGCTTGCAGGAATCATTTACTTCTTTGTATTTCGTTGAGGCACAGGAATCTTAATGAAACTGCTATGAGAGGTAAGGCAGACCATGGGAAATAAGATCAGTATCTAAAGCTATTTGAGTTATTCATGAGAAACAACTAGATTTGCAGAATATGTGCAGGTTCTAGTGAGGCCCCTAACTAAAGAGGTGAATAAAGAGATTCAGCTGACTTCAGATCCAATCCGAAATGCTCATTTAAGCCTCATCTTTACCCATTCCTCCCATCTGAGAGTAGCAGTGTGGGACAGAGGAGGTGAATTACATGTGTCTCATGTAGTTGGAGCAGATTCTGGACACCTAACTTCAGACCAAAACCTCTCTGATCAGCTCAGAAAATCCAGCTTTTAAGCAAAAGCCTTCTCCTAGCTATTGAATATCATTCAAGTAGAGCACTTTCCAGCTGTAAATTCTCACACCAAATATCCTTCTCAATTTAGTCTAATCTCCCTGTTCTCTCTGGGGTTTAACATCCACCCCCTGCTCCTGTAAAAATCCAACTTCACTGGCCAGTCTGTGTGTCTGTGCCTAACAATGCATGAAGTACATTCATAGAGTGCCTCAATCTTGCCACTATAGTACTAGAACAAGAAAAAAATTATTAAAAAAGCAATAGACATTGTTAATGATTGACTCAAATAAATACTTAAACCCTTATACCCAAGCTGGTTCAGGCAATTCCCCTACCAAGAGTTGCCTCCAAGCACTTTACATCCATAAAGCATCAAGGTTTCAGATTTAATCAGGCTGAAATAGCAAAGAGACTTTAGGAATAAGCATTACAGCCTTCAATTTAGGCTCCAGTTGAGACCTATGCTCTGCTTCATTTGTTTTAACAATGTTTCTTATAAATGAAGCTCCTTAAGTGATTCTGGTGCATGAATGAGTAAGTAATTTAGTGGGGGGAAAAGAGGAAGAAGGGCAACTCACTATTAACCTTCACGTTAATGGAATGGGCTAAATTAAGCCATCATATAATGGGATACAAACAGCTAGCAGAGGTCCATGAAATTATAGTGTGCACTTACACAGCACTGACTCTGACCCAGTGGCTGTAACCACTGGCTATGATGTAAGACTAATTGTCCTAAAAATTTTTCAGACTTGCTTTCTTCAGGAAACTTTCCTATTCAATTTTAAAGGTTCTCACTTTAGATGCTGACTCCAGAATTTGTTTAAGTAGCCAACATGAAAAGGAAATGACAATTTTTTTGTGTGTTTTGTTTTGTTTTCAAAAAAACTTCTTTTACAAAGCAACAATCTTAAATCCATACCAAAACAAATGGCATGCATGAATTATTTCCTTTAGGTATTTGCTTTAACTTGTTGGGATTAGTAACCTTGCAAAGCTGCCTCAAAGATTCATTCCATAATTTAAAAGGTCATTCTAACTTCAAGAAGTCAGACAATTGTTACAGCTGTGACAGAGTTTTCATTAACCCCTTACCTCATTGCTCACTAATACATGGATCCCTGTGGGTCCCTGACGATAGATTCGATTTATCTGCTGTGGAGAAATGCTGTACAAGTTGGCAATCTTCTCGATTAATTCCAATGTGGTCAATTCTTCCAAGAAGATTGCATGATATACTGCAGTGAGTTGAAAGTAATTACAGAATTATAAAGTAATTCTAGAATAGCAACTACAGATAACACCAAGATGCTCAACATCAACAACCAAAATGGGTTTAAGATCAAGGTTCAAATCTTGACAGTAGATAAACAAGCTTAATACCTTTAAAGCAGCCCCCAAATATCCAGCTTGATGATTTGTAGAAAAATACCCAGTATTTGGATGCAGTGGGCAAATAAAGCACATATCACTTTTGCCCAGGGGAAAACACAGGGACCAATGACAACATGTATCATGGGGCACTAAAAAAAACCCCCTCGTAAAGATGTTAATATTTTTGGATAATCTACTTTTACTGATTTTGACATTTTAAAGTAGATCCAATTAAAGAGTAAAACACATGATATGCTATTATACAAAAGTAGTATTTTTTTAGATTTTATTCCACTATTCCCACAGGCACAAACTAAAGACTACAATATATCAAATAACTGCAGATGATAGTATTATTTTTTTAAATCCAATCCAAATGGTAGAAACAACCACGTAGAAAAGCTGTGCCTGGTTAATACTATGTACAAGAACTCAGGACAATCTTTGTTCTCATTTGTTCACAGTTAAGAGCATTGAGTCCCCAAAAGCTTTAAACTTCCAAGAATTAGAACCTCACTTTAAGACACACCGACCTTCCATTTCCCAAAATATTTTCAAACAAGTCATAATCTAAAGCAAGTTGTGGGTGGGAAGGTAGTTTTTATCATGCTATGGTCCCTATTAAGAAATGAATAGAGATTTTTCTGTGTCATTCTGCAGATAGCTTGTAAGCTTGGGTCTGTTCCCCAGGCAAGATGGTACCAGTCAGAATCTGTAACCCTGAAACTGACCAAAGTGGCAGAACTGGGATAAACAGGACCTTTTTAAACACCCAGGACACCAAGCTGTTCCACACAGGAGCTCAGGCAGAAAGCAGCATTCTCACCAGGTAAGTGTTTAACTAAATCCATATCTAAAAACTTACCACAAAGACTGCCATCTCCATTTTCTCGTTTTTGGTGGAGATGGGACCTGTTTTGCTCTGGTTCTTGACAGACATAAATTGTCATCTTGGGCCTTACATTTCTATGGATTATTAAAAAAAAAGTAGTGAGTTACTTAGTAGATCTAAAATTGTTCCAGTCAGCTACCAAACAATATGAGATGGAATCACTCAGGCTGTACACAAATAACCAACTAAGGGATAGTCTTGATGCTGATGATGCCATTTCTTAGGAGGTCTAGTAAGAGCCCCCGGGGGAGTGGTGGTACAGTGCAGAGCACCTTAATCTCTTCAGAATCAGATAAGAATAAACAATTTACAGCACTTGCCAAGCAGCTCATCAAACCTGCCTTTACTGATTTGAATCCTACCCAGCTGTAGAATTATGTTATTGCAATAAAGGAAAATTTAAGAGTCATTTGAGGCTTCAGGCATTGGTTGGTTGGTTTGTTGTTTGTTACTTGTGATGGAGATGCAACACAGAGTATTGTAGGCTGTCTCTCATACGAAGTGAATGGAAGCTATCAGCTGGTAGCAAATAAACCACTGGAGATCCACATTATGCTCCTTCATTTCAGCAACATTTCTGAGCTGTGCTCGGATTTGAATACCATTGTGATCTCCAGCTTCTGAGATCACCTCTCTTAAGTGTTAAAAGGAAGTCTAAATGCTACAGCTCCAGAATTAACTTCTAGTTAATACTGAAATTACCAAGGGATGCTTACATAACAAAAAAATAGGAAGGAAGAAGTACAAACCTTCCTTTGATTGCATTAAAAAGCCGAATTCCATCAGCAGGCCCACAGATTTGAACAAAATCTTCTTTGGACATCTTCAGTAAGTCAGCACCTATGTATTTCAAATTGATTTTTTTTCAGAAGTTAAGCAAATCTTAGGTTCCAAATTGTGTGTATGGGCAGCAGAAAAGGGCAGGGGGAGAGAATGCACAAAGCTGAATCAGACAGGTTTGCCTAGAGAAGTTTCAAATTACAGAGGTGTACACTGCAAATCAACCATTGTGAAATAGAGCTAGAAGCTGCCAAAAGAGCAGTGCTGCACTGGAAGATATTCTAGCCAACTCAGAAACAAGCTAGATATTAAACACTGGTCATAAAATGGCCCAATTTTCTCTAATTGACATGTTCACCAGATTATCTAATCAAGTTGAAAGTGAGAAATAGGGTCCTCAAGGTACCAACATGTTTAACAATTCCACTTTCCACCATCTTACTGCTGTGTACAACTACCTAACAGAAGGGTATGGTGAAGACAGAGCTGCAGATGGAGCCAGACTCTTCTCAAAGTGCACAGGGACAGAATGAGAGGCAGCAGACAGAAGATGAGAAACACTGATTAGGTATAAGGAAAAACTTTTTCACTGTGAGAGTAGTCAAGTAGTTGAAGAGGTTGCTTAGAGAAATGGTGGGATTTCCAACCTTGAACATACTAAAACACAACTGCACAAGGCCCTAGACTTGCTTCAAGCAGGGGGTTGCACCTAATGAACTCAAGAAGTCCCTTCGATCTTAACTTATTCTCTTCCATCTTTACTTATTCTATATTTCTACAAACTGTTTTGGCATATGCTAACTAAACTAAGCACAAAAAAACAGCTACACTGGATTAGACCAGTGATCCCATTAACAGTGGCCAGCAGCAGATGCTATTGATATGAAGCATGGGCTGTGCTTATAAAAGAGAATAAAGACAAAATAATTGGACTGTTTAAACTCACCCGAAAAACTTGAGAAGAGTCTACAGAATGGAGAGAACCTATTACGATGAAGCCACTGCTGGGCATCTTGAATAGAAGCAGAAGGAAGGAGATGCTACATTGCAAAAAGAATAAGAAGGTCTTGAAATGAACTGTTCACCAGTGTCCTAAAAAAGAAAAGCACCACATTAACATGATCTCAAGTACTTACATCATTGCTGGGAGGCAGGAGCTCCACTTGGTGGGTTGGAGAACTGTTGCTAAAAAAAATTATATAAAGTTGGAAGAGAAAAAAAACAACATTATTTTAAATTTTACATCGCAGTGGCCATCCTCTTCCCCCTCTTCCATTTGACTCAACTGTCACACCTTACACACAAGTTACATATCAGCTTGGCTTTTTCCTCTAAGAGATTTTTAAAAAGGTGTCCAAAATCTATACCAAAAAAAAAAAAAAAATCTCTGTTTGAGCCTTTTATTGTTCAGTTGAGGTCCTACTCAACACTGAGAGGAAAACTCAGTTTACTAACTTCATTCAAGCTTTTTCACATGGGTGACTCACTAACGTGACACCATCTAATCAAGGAAGTTGTGACCTACAGGGTGGCTAAACTAAAAATTTCTATGAGCCAGAAATCCCCTAACTAAATCCACTGTCTGATAATGATTCTTCACAAAAATTGAATAAACAACCTTATAATTCAACCCCGGTGTTATATTAAACATACTGAATTGCAATTTAACTACATTACACAAAACCACATTTCTACGAAACCTTTCTAAAACATAGACAAAACTTCAACAGGACTTCAGGCTTTTCCCGAAGAGTTAATAATCTACCACTGGAAGAAAATGCTCAACAGATCTCTCTAGTAATAACAATTTTTGTCATTGCAGTGTTTCTCCTTATTCATAGGTTGAGGTCGTTCATTAAAAATTTGTGATACAACATTGATCAGCTAATAAGCTCTGCGGGAAGGTGACAAGTTTCCAGGGTCCTAGAGGAGGGAAAAAAAAGGCCTACACCAAATTCCTAGGGGAAAGTATATTGCAGGGAGGACTCAGAAGTACCGAAGGACCCTGCTGTATATTTATGTCATCAGCTATCATCTTGGGTGTTTCAGGACCACTAAAACTGTTTATGACAGCTATATTAATGAATTAAACATGCCTCCTGTTAGTCCTTTGTTCTGGAACAGCTTCTCAAAACCCAGGCAGGTTTTGCCCCAGACAGGATTCTTTATATGCCATTCAGCTGGGAATTTATCACCTCAAACTACCTCAAGACAGAAAGGAAGGAAGAAATACCAACTCTGAAGTGGTGCTGAAGGCTGAAAGCCTCTAACACTTTTGTCAGAAGCTACTGGGAATTTCTGCTACAGGGCATGGTGTGTTCTCTGACCCACACAGAAGAGTAAGAGAGGAAATTCACAGCATGAATTGCTCTGGTGGTCCTCTGATGCTCATGTCCCAGCCACCACATAAGTAGCAGACATAGAAACAGTACTCTGCATCACAGGAAATTCCTGGATGGAAAGCCTTTAAAGGCTTTGTGGGAAATATTTTCCCCTTTCTAGGAAGGGTGGTCTTTGACCTCTTCTTCCAAGGTATGAAATGCATGGGCACACAAAACGGGCACACAAAGGCTACTATATCAACAGGAAAGATAAAGCATTAATTTGTTACATACCCATCTCCAAGGTTGAAGCTGTTGGGAGAACTGTTGTAGCTTGGAGATGGAGCATTGTTCATTTGATAAGGCACATCTGGCCAGGGAGAGCACTGTTGGAAGAAAGGCAGCAGGGATACTTTCATAAGGATGGAAATAAAGGATTCAATTCTCCTCTCATACCACATTCATGCTGTTGCCACACCACTAACTTCAGCTCATCACTCCTGCTGGGAGGAGGAGACAGGCCATGGATTTTCTACGCCGCTCTCCAAGCGGGCTGTCAGGGGGCCAGATTGATTCCAGTTGTGCATTCCACATTTCTCCCATTTCACAAAGCCTGTCCCCAAATAACACTGGGCCAAAGTGTGCACAGCTGTAAGTCAGAGCAACGCCAGTAAGTCAACTCAGACTGAAGGCAGCAATGATACAGAAATACCCCTGGTCTCAATTATAAATCCCTAATTAAATCCAGGCAAGAGTGACAAATATGCTCCAGTGGCATTGCTTCAGGTTTATACCAGTGAGAGAGCAGAATTTGAACGAGCCTGTTAAAATCTCTGGCTATTAGTTGAAGAGCTCAAGTTATAAATGGGTATTACAGGGAGAAAATTTAAGATGGACAGAGAGACACAAAGCTACTAAAAGTCTTTACAAATATAGGTCAAACTCCATATTCCATTACAGTAGTGTAAAACCAGAGTAATCCAGCTAGAACTGGTGACTATTCTGAATTTAAGCCACTGTAATCAGCAGGAGAAATCTAGTTCTGTGAAACCCACCACCATCAAGAGCTCAAGAAAATGCTTTGTAGTACTCTTGTTTGCAATGATAAAAAGAAGACAAGCGTAGCTTTGGAATTTTATCATCTCCACAAATACTAGCAAATATTTTATCATCCCACAAGCACTAGCAAATATTTAACTCTTTGGCAACCCACATTTCCCCATGCAATATGTCAAAGTGCATCAGAGCTCACAGAGAGCTTGGGATCTGTCAACTCAGTGGAATTAGGCCTGTGTACACAAGAGCCTTGCTAACAACCACCACGTTGAATTAGAAAACATGCTGGTCGCTCCTGGCAACTTGAGGAAAATTGAGTGGGAGGGAGTGGATCTCATAAACAGGAAGTTTATTTAAATTAAGAAAAACCCATCATTTTTAGAAGTCCAGCAAGCCACTTCAAAAAAAACCCAAGAACTAAATCAAAAGACAAAATATTCCCATAAGGAGACAGAACAGCACTTTTAAACCATTGTCTTGAGTCCTGTTGCTTATTAATTCTGGAGCCTGGGGTAAGCTTATATATACATCTTAGTAATGGTAGGGAGGAGTAGAAACATACACATCTCTACACCAGAATATAAGACATACAAGATATTCCTAGAGTACAAGCCAGAATCTTCTGAGACCTAGTATGTAATAGTAGCCTCATAGGCACATTCACAGAAGAGATTAATAATTTAATCAGACAGCCTATTCATTTGTTCAAGTGCCCCACCTCTAACATGAGCTTTTGCCAGGCAGTTCTGAAGAAAAAACCTCATACAAGTGGCATCTAATGTCATGACAAGTGCCTGGGAACATGGCAGAAAATAGAGCTAAGGGTTAAGGGTTGGTTTATACCCTGAAACATAAGAAACTTTGGCATCTTTTATAAACTTCAACAGTGAGAAACATTTTATATTTTCACTCAGGACTCAGGTTTCAATTTCAGTCAGATCTGGACATACATCTGTCCACAAGACAATCTCCAAGGCTCAAGTTAGACTGCATTTTCTCTCAAATCTATCTCCCAACATGCTGCAGTAGTCCAACACATGTCTAAAATGCTTTACCTCTGTGAGAATAGTAGTCTCATAGGAAGGCTGATACTTCTCCTTCTCTTGGGTGGTCTTCTTCTCCATTTTTTCCCTGTCAGTCTTCTGTTTTCTGTCTGCTCCTTTAGGCTATAAGCATAAGCACAAGCTTTCCCTTATGCCAAATATTACAAGTTTGGAGACAGAGGCCAACAGATTTTTTTTTCTAATCTGTTCACAAAAGTCTCTTTAAGATTTATGGGGACTCTACATATGAAATAAGATCAGATCTGCATTTTCTAGACAAAAAAATTAGTCACGCATCTCTACTGTTTCTATAACATCCCCCATTAAAGTGTGTTGCAATTCCAGATAGACTGACCTGACAGTCCTAAGATTTGATATCAACTATTTCAGATCATGAGCCCCATGAATTAGGCACTTCGACTGGTATTTGTACCATCTCTCCAGGAAAAGGAAAGACGTTCCCTGCAGGAGCAAGACTAGAGCAGCAGATCCTTTGAGAAAACAGGCCTATGAAAAGCTTGTTGTTAAGTCACTACACATCTGTGATGCCCAAATTAGGAGCTTCAGAGATGAACAGAATCATCTTTCTCTCTTCCAGGTAGCATGGAGAACTCTGCTGCAACTAGCGAAGGGAATTTAAGATCTCCAAGTTAGACTCTCACTGTTCATGGAGAATTGAATCAAAGAAACTGGAAACACCCACACTGCCTTGACTGTCTGGGAGCACCAAAATACAAGAGATACCCTGAATATCATCAGGTTTGAGTTGTTGAGGGGTTTATGTTTATTATTATAACCACACAGCACAGATCTCAGTATTTATATAGTGTTCAAGGCACAATGGACTGGCATAAGTCCTGATGCAGCACTTGGGTCATTTGAATTTAACTAGAATTGCTGTGTAGCAACTCCAGGCTTATGTCACTTCGAGTGCAAGAGCCCTGTTTAAGATCCTAAGCATACCCAGTTGAAAGTCTGTTCTTTTACCCGACTATTTGCATCGCTCCTACACATTTTAAGAACTGTGCATGTTCCTGTGTCTTTGTCTAATCCAGCTGATGACAAAGCCAAAACTACCTCATACCTTGAACACTTTGATCTGGCAGCTTGCAGAATGCAAATGTTCTGTGTATTCACCATTTTCATTCTGCTTAAAGGTGTCAATCTGCACCCGGAAGGGCACACCTTTCTCTCCTCCATGTTTCCGTGGGGTAAATTCTGTGCTGATGCAATGTACCTGGCAAAACAAAAGCTGTGCTCATCTCTGGAGACAGTTGGAAGCTGTGCAAATCTGAATTTCAGACTCCCTGAATGTAGAGGGTGCCTGAACATGAGGTTTTGGCTCCTCCAGAGAAACAAAGAGAGGCAGAAATGTTCAAAACGTTTTAATTTCTGTTCCTCAGGACAAAACAATTAGACGAACAAGAAGCTCAGAGAGAAACAGGGCAACAAGAAAAGCATTCTTTGATTTAAGTAAATTCCACATACAGATTAAAAACAGATAGTTGGCATTTGAGGATAAGAAACACTCATGAAAGAGAAAAGTAAGCAAAACTAACAGGTTGTGAACAGTTTCCTCCAGGCAAAACCCATGCTTAGAAAGCAACATCCAATTTTTTTTTTTAAATAATATCCTAGCTGTAGTGGGTAGTACTTCAACGCTAGCAAGTAGCTAGCAAGTTGGTTTAGCAAGTATCCTACAAATTAATTATACAGAGTTTGTATATTATCATTAGTATCTTTCTCTTTTCCTCATGTCCTGGCCATATTCAGTCTCCAGGTCTTTGTAAGATATCTCACTATTGTATTTACCACAGGAATATCACTTCTCTCTTACCTGAATGAATGCTGAGGCTCTCTTTGATGGATCCCACAGAAATTCAACAGTGTTCAACTGGGTTGGGCTGGCCCTGGGATCCAAGATACCAACTGACAGCGGAATATCTGTAGAAGAAAACCCCTAAAATTTTAAAAATATTAAATTGAAGAAGAGAAAGCATTTCCATACATTTACAAGATGCATGTGAAAAGCCAAACCACCAATGATAAATCTATTTGGGACCTACAGTGCTAGATCTCCTTCCCACCCAAAGACATACAGGATTCCTAAGACTAGGATAGAAAAAACCTTAACACACATGCAAACACGCCACACATCACTCAACACCTCGCTTCCAAACACTGCCCAGGAACCATAATGAAATAGTCTCACCTATATCAAGGATGCGGTCCCCAGGCCGACTCCACCTCCAGCCCTCAAGCTGCTGATGCTCTGTGTACTGCAGGCGTCGATCATGGAAAACTACACGAATTATGCTCTGTTAAGAAAAGATGGCAAGATGAATAACATGATCCAAAGGCCCTTCTCTTGAGATGACTTTGGTTTTCCAGCGTAGAAGCAAAAGCTGATCTGTTGTTTCTCATCCCCATTCATGAGGAGAGCAGAGGGTCCACCTAAGAGACCCATCACCATCTTTATCAAATTCCTAAGGGACCCCTGAGTGATACAGCAACACACTTTCCCCTTCACAGAGCATGTTTATGCTGTGTAATGCAGCTCTGCACAGGATTTGGCCTGGAAGCACTACAGCAATGTACACCTAATCTTAGGTGTCATGCCATGTAAACATCACTATACTGCCTCCATACCCAAAATAGCTCACATGGGGGATAATATTTGATGTGTCTGTATCATGCCCCAACCCCAGTAAATCCCACTGACTAGCAAATGTGAAAGCCAGCTCACCTGTCCCTGCACTGGTGGAGCTGACATGGCCAGACACCTTGCCAATGGGAATTAAACTTGATTCCAGCCATTAACAGCCAGTCATTGGCACTGGATTTGCCCCAGTACACTGGTAAACTGCCTCACTACACAGTTAAATGAGCGTAGAATAGGAAAGCTTCTGTAACAGGAGAATTTTCGTCTCTAGCCAGCAATGGTGCAGCCATGTCAACAACTGGAGAAAAAAGGCTGGAATAAGAGCAATCCCCAGGGCAGACAAGTCCAAAGTACCCCTAACTAATACATCCTTTTTTATATTGAGAGTGCTATGCTATCTTGAGTCAATGACTCCTTACTTCCCAGTTTCTTGAGTCCATGGTCCTGCTGGGGACTTCTGTATCAGATGGGAGTGAGCACTTTTTGACAATGAACCTGAGAAATGCCCAAATCAAACCCTAGCTCTCAGAAGCAAGCAAGCCACAGTGGGAACGCCTGCAAAATTGGAATCCAAATCCATATGCTTCCTGAAATGGGCCAAAAGACAAACAGGCAATTGCCTAAACTTGGACAACATTTGGAATCCAGATTGGAATCCAAATTTTGCAACTAGTCCCCACTTCTCGAAAGAAATCCTAAGGCAGAACAGCCAAGAATTTGGGAGAGGAAGGCTTAAAGGTTGGATCCAGAGTCAAGATCCAGGCCCAAGTTCTTGAATTGGAACTCATTTGGGAGGTGGCAAACAACAAAAAAATCCCCAGAAACAATCAACCAAGTTCTGTGTGTTCACAATTATGCCCACATAAACTGGAGCTATGCAGAATCTGCACAGCAGAATGATGTAAACACTGGGGTCCTCCGTTTGACAGGTAACAACCCAGGCATGTTGCTGGGGTTAAGAAAGGAAACAAGTCTACCTCTCACGGTTTTGACCATGTTCACCTCTGAACTTTGGGATTCCCCTGAACCCAATATTCACAGTGAAACTCTGGGGTCATGATCACAAACAGAATAAAGGTTCCCCTGAAGCCCTGTAAAGCCAAGCTGCATAGTCCCATGAAACTAGCACTCAACAACTCCATCAGCCCTGCTCCCATTAAAAACAATGGCAAAGTATTTTCCATTGTCTCAGTGTGAGCAAGGTCAGGCCCTTCATTAGAGGCTGTATGTAGTAGCAGGAAGAAAAGAAATCTATATTTCTCCTTACCTTTACATATTTTGTGTTTAAATCTTGAAACTCTCCCAATTTCCTATTCTCAAGTAGACGGATTTCATAAGACTGACCTAGAGTTTAAGGAAACATTTCCAAGGTGTTTAATATGTTGTAGCAATGAGAGAGTCATGCTGGCATTTATGTGGCTAATAAAGCATACGTTCGATCAGGGAAAGCTCATTTTTGGTAACATAATGCATTTGCCCCCAGTAATTGAGTAGGCACTAAAGTACAGCAGAAATCTGAGGGAAAGGTTTGTCATTTGACAGCTAAAAGCTCTCAGTTAGGGCATTGATAGTCTGTCTCCCAGGGCTGCTAGTTTTCTGGTCACCCTTCAGAAGGCCACCAAAGCGTTGAAGACCATTGTCCCCCACATCGCATGGCTGTAACAGCACTGCCTTCATCTGTCTCTTCTGCTGAAGCAACGGTTGTGTGAAGAGCTGCTAGCACAACTGGTTTAGGCACTGTTCTGCAGAGGATAACAACTTGGGCACAAGCTCACCTTCTTCAGAGAGCAGTCAGGTCTGTAAGGTGTTTCAGTGAACCAGAATACAAGATTTGTTCCATAAAGCTTTGAATGTGGCTGCCCAGGGCATAAAGACTTCTACAGACACGCACGTGGAAGCAGTAATGGGTATTACAGGGTGTGCAAGGACCAATTCTGGGTGGGAATTCATACTCCAGCACCCCACCACCACCCTCAGCATAAGGAATTCAGCCAGTTCAGTAGAATTTAGCTGGTTTATGAAATAACATCTCCCTCCAGGGCTGACAAGGAGACTGATGTTCCAACACCTTAAGCACAAATGGCCAAGACAGCAGAAAAGCTCATTGTATAGGACCAACTCTGTACAATAAACCTACAGCCGGTACAGAGGCAGGACAGGATCATTAGGATTAACGGAGCATATGTATACCTTATAGCTAGTTTTTCTTGTTCATCTTGCTATCCTCCCTTTTACCGAAAAATGCACAAGTACAACAAGACAGGCAGCAAGAAGGAGATCAGTTTGGGTTTTCTGGCTCAACCAGTATCTACTCAGAACTGGCCCTGCAGAAAATTGCAAAGCAGAGATATCTCCCTCTAAGCAGTTGCTGCCAGTAGAGATAAAAAATTCTTTCTGGATATGGAACTAGAAACAGAAGACTTAAGACAGCAGACATGTCAGGAGGGCACCGCATTTCACGCAGATTCCCTTTTGGGAATCCCAGCTTTTCCAGTTGCCCGTGTGAGTACAGACCATATCACTAGAGCACAGGGATAACTGTGCTTACTCAGCTGGCTGGCAGGGAAGAAAATAAAAAGGACAAGAGAGGCCATATTGAAGCCCCAAATGTTTGCACAACACTCCTACTGATGTCAATAGGAGTTCTGCAAACAGGAAATGACCCTTGAATCCAGCAAGTGGCTTAGGTCATGGGGAGAGGGGAGAATAAACCATATGAAGTACCAAATTAAGCACTGGAAACATGCATAGATCTTAACCCATCTCTTTGTGCATAAACCAAAATAACAAGTGACCTTCCTTTGAAGATTGCTGGACAACAGAAGTGGATTTTGTGAACCACAGTCCTGAAACTGAGGTCTTCCACACTTCAACACAAGCGACTTTCAATGTTCCCACTGATAAAGGTTAATTTTGTTTACTTGGAAATTTTTAGAGTATTACATATCTCCCCACATAATCAATAATGTTGCATTAGCATAAAAAAGGCTCAGGTTCGCAAGATTGGTTTTCTATGTTGAACTACATATCTATGTAACTATGTATCTGTGTACTATGTACTATGTCAAAAAGGAAATAAAATGCTTTGATGGAAGATGTATGGGTCATCTGATGTAAACCCTGGAATTCAGCTTATGCCATGAAAAACCTCAATCAAAATGGTATTTTAGGCTAACTGCTTTCCCCTTGACCTCTGAATGTTTAACTGCAGTTACTACACAGAACTGTTATCAAAACAAGACTGCTCCCAGCCAAGCTCCATAAACACACAGTTTATTTCCCTTTCTGTGAAATTCTACCAGTGAGAATTTGCTCCTAATTACTCATAATTCCTTTATAGAAAAACATTTTGGTATTGATTTTGAAAAATTCATTCTCCCTACAACTTATTCCAGCAAATACATTGCTCCATGGCTAATGGTACCCAAAATTCATTGGTACAGCATGCACAGCGTTCAAATACCTGTATTTTTATAGCAAAAAAACTGCTTGGATTATATTTTTTCCTTGAAAAATACCTTCCAAACCTTTTTTACCTTGTTTTCCACCACCATTACCAGCAAAACTCCTGAAATGGTGAATTTCACTCTCAGCCCTGCATTTATAGCTAGTGCAGGGAAAAAAAAAAACAAACCAAACCAAAACTAAAGAATCAATACCTGGATGCTGGAAAACAGGATCCCTCCATAAAATAACGCTAATAATAGCAACCTAACCTGAAGAAAGCTGAACTACCCCTGGTGTCAAAGAGGGCAAAGAAGTCACTCAAGGCTCTGGAGCACAGAACATCTACAAATCCTGCACCACTGACTCATCAGCACTAGCAGGCACAGGCTAAAATTTTATGCTAAAACTAAATCAGTAACAGTTCATTCTTACTCAGGTATCTAAAGCTGTAACAAAATGTGGCCACAAATGTGACTAAAACAAATTGTATTCCCAGTTCCCAAGACAGACTGCAGCTAGCACAACCCAAAACATACAGCTGAAATACAGAAAGTTCCCCTATACTGTTTTCCCATCTGTCTCAGATGGAAATACAGATTAATACAAGCTAGACAAGGCTTGGTGCTAGAGCTGGAGAGAGAGGCAGAAGGTACTGATACTGAGACCCTGCAATGATTTGATTGAATGGTCTGACCTTGACCAGGGCAGTACCTGGTCCTCAGCTGAGTCCCCTGTTACCAGGATGATATCCAACGTTGATGAACATCAGTCTTAAACCCAATGCTAAAGGCCAGCAATTTGATTCAACCCTTTTCCTTCCACGCTCTCAACACTGGCCATAGCTGCACCAGCACAGGCAACACGGGTTCTAGACAGCTTCAAAGCTGGTGACCAGCCTGGTCTCTGGTCATGTTATAATACTGCACACATGCATACAAGAGCATCTAAGGCACCTCTATCGCTACTTGAAATGAAGAGTACATTTTGCAAGCAAATCCTCAGCGTGGCTGAGGCCAAAGCAGCCTCCAGCCTGTGCGACCCAGTGCTCCCCTAGCACAGAGCTTCTGCCTCACCTCAGGCAGGGAACAGAACGGTAATAAATATTTGGAAAACCACATTAAATTCCTCAGATGCAATTTGTCTCCTGGCTTCACTGAAAGCTTCAGGGGCACCAATAAAAACCTGGGCGGGTGATGATACAGTGTAATTTGTATTTTGAACAGACATTCCCTGAGCAACAGCAAATTTATGCAATCTCCTCCTAGGCTATAGAGTTTGAGCAACTCTACAAACAAGAGTAGTATCCAGCAAAGTAGTAACCACCCAGGTCCAGAGAGTTCCTGCTTGGTGATTCATAAAGCAATTGCATCTATCTTAAAGAGGATTTATAGACTGTTTACTTTTTTAACTTTTATTGTCTTTGGTAATTAACGCACATTAAATGCAGGCATGACCACTTAGTTTGGGGACAAAAGAGTTGAAAGTCAACAATTTGCTGCTGATGAAAAATAATTTAGTTCAACATGGGAACACTTTCACATGTTCAAAAGGTAAAAGCCGTAACAGTTTAACTGATTTCCATCGCTGGAATTTAGCCAGCCATCAGGAATTCTAGGCAAGTTCTGATTATAGAAGATTATCATTATTTCAAGCTCAAAGTTACATTTTGTTCCAAGATTATTTGCTACACAACCACAAAATCCTGCTTTCTTTTTTATGTTTTGGTGTTCTATTTCAAGGGCCACTTGCACTATGCATTTTCTGGTTTTCTGCACAATACACCGATACAATAAACTAATTTCCAATTAGGATGCTTAAGTTCCAGACCAATATGACTCAGGCCTTACTTGATCTAGCCAAGCAGTCTGCTTGCCTTTCCAGCAATTAATTAAGCCCTAACCTTATACTAAACAATATCCCCCAACAAAAGTTGGTGCAAAGAAAAAAAAAAACAACTGAGAGTCCTCTTTCTCAGAATGGATCCACAGAGCACTAGACAGAACCAGCCTGGAAACTGTTTGATTATTAAGCCAAGCTGGCCAATAAAAATACCATTTAGCAACTTTATATGGACATCCTAAATCGCACACAGATAAAGGCAAAGGAATGCTGACAGTCGAATGCAGCATGCAGAAGGAGGGGGAGGAAAAAAATAAAAGGAAAGCATTTATCCTCCTAAAGCAAAGCACATCCAGCAGGCAGGAGGATCAGCCTTGAAACAGCCAAATGCAACTGTTCAGGGCATTAGGCACACACAGAGATTTTTCTGACAAGAAAGATTAATGAACCCACAGGGCAAATAGACAAGAGTGACAGAGCTGGCATCTGAACTTGTATGCTTGATTGCCCACACCTTTTTAGCCAGACAAAAGCAAAAATAAAAGTTAGCATAAGATTTGCTGAAGTGCCCCATGTGCAGAGACCCTGCAGGACAAGGAGCAAGGGGAAAATTCTCCCTCCCCAGACCACAAATGGCAGTGGATGTTCTGCAGTTGCTTACTGCAGCCTCATTTGACAAGATGCTGTAGGACATGTTTATCCAGTGGATATTATGAATTCACCAGCTACACAATAGGCCACCCTGAAAGCTCCCACTATGCTAGGAACATGGAAATCCTGCAAAGGAAGACCAACTGTGGGCCAGGAAATGCAAAAGGAACTCAAAAGAGCCATCCTGACACAGTAGCCTATCTTGCCCCACATCTCATCTTCAACAGCATGCAGTTAAAAGCCCCCAGGTACAGTACCAGGTGGACACAACCCACCCTTTCCTGGCCATAACTTCCCAGTTTCTGGTATTCTAGTGTCCAGACCATACCCATATCAAGCTGCCCAGTCATGACCAATGCTCACAAACTCTTCTTTTGTACAATTTCCGTCTGAACTTACTTATGCTT